TAAACCAAACCAGCCTCACAACTGGCTTAAAATTAACTCTGTGCTAACCACTGGCCTGCCTCTGGCTCAGTGGGCATGTACCTTACCCATAAACATAACCAAAGTTAGGGGAGGGATCAGTCCCAATCATCTTTTCCACTGGGCCGCTGGTCCAACCCTGACTGACAAGGGACCTTTTCCACCACAAGCCGCTCCCCTAAACTCAGCGGGGCCGCTCCACCAAACCAGCCATGGTCTCCTCCAAAGCGTCTTGCAAAGCTAAATGAAAGAGGTCCAACCCAACCTCCGTGAGATGCACACCATCGCTCCAGAAAAACATCCCATGCGTTCAGCTTAAAAACGCGGTGCCGAATAGCAATTACCCCAACCCCCATTTACATTTTGAGATCTGCTTATTGAGCTTGACGCTGCAGCGCTTCATTGCACGTTGATCCCTGGCACAGCACCAACAGTTACGGGACACCACCTCCGACCAGACCAGGCAGACATCAGGAAAAAGTAACAGCACTAATCCAATTCCCCAGTCCCAATACTGGGCAGTTGCCTAGGTCGTTGCCCACTAGGTGGATAACCAAGACATCTGGAACTCCTACCAAATGGGACAATTGCACCAGCTCCAGCAGCAGATGAACCCAACGCATGCCCTGGGCCCCGAACCCCAGGAAATCATCCACCACAGGAGACAGTCCTAATCAAAGCATACCCAGGCGGATACCAGCACGTTGATGGACCCAGGAGTGTCCAATCACCCAGATACATCGCACTGGACCTATGGAGAGAAAACAGCAGGAAACAAAATCAGTCCGGCAGGGCGCACACAAGACCTAAATCTCCCCGATTCCTATCTACCAATCCTGCAAATGGCCATCTCCGAGAGCCCTAAGCGCGAAGCCTTGCCGCTACAATCCTAAACGAACAGCCCCCAAACTCCTGACTCCGGAATGCCCAGTGCATCCAGCGACTTCTTGAATACCCTGATCAACTGAATCTGGGACAACAGTCCCGCGTCATGGTGAACCAATAGTGGTCCAGACACCAACGGCCCAGGCGAACAAAAAGGGCGAAAACAAGAGACTGGGCAAACCACCGTACCCGGGATCACACAAAGAGAAACCCATACACCTCCCCCGCGGGTGTCCCCTACCCATACCTGGTAGTTGAGAGGTACTGACCAGGCGGCATAGGCGTGGACTGGAGCAGCAGAGCCAAGCCAGGAGGAACCTGCTGGGCCGAAGCTGTAACATCCAATGAAACATGAATAGGTACAGGAGCCGCGTAGACCTGGGGAAGGCCGGGTCCGGAGCAGCCTGCAAAGGTAAGACAAGTGAGACATCAACCCCCCAAGCAATCACAGGCCCACTCCGGGGGTTAGAACAGTAGGGGGTCACCCAGTAGGCCCAGGGGAAACTGAGGGGGAAGACTGAGGGCTACCCGACCCACTAGAAACCAGTAAGGGGGCACCCCATGGCTTGCCCAGCAAGGTTTTTCGTGAAGTGAGGGGCCCAAAGATCCCTGTGACAGACCCTGAGGCCTACTTACCCGCCCGGCACTGCGCCTGACTGATGAGCGGGACACGTGCTGGGAATCCTGGATGGAGCGACAGGAACGGGGGGGCTGCACCCGGCCTCGCATCTGTGCGAGATGGTACTGTGGCTCCAATCAGGCTGAGTCGGCTGCCTGGATGGAGTGGATGCCCCCACCGCAGATCGCCTAGGCCGCGAGACTGCACTGGGGCTCCGGGGCCTGTGGGACACTCAGCCACCCGGAGAAGGGCTAAAACGAGTGGGAGGTTGAGCCCGCCGCCATGGGCTACCATAAACAGGAGCAGACGTTGCAGCAGCAGCCTGCAGGCGAATGAGCTGGGCCCTGCCATACTTCAGCCCGAAGAGTTGCTAGGACCTTATCGATATCCATGGATGCTCTGGCCGAAAACAAGCTCTAGCAACAGTACAGGGAAGCTGTTCCAAGGTGGGATTAATTAAAATGACTGAGCCCCTTACAGAAAATGGCCACCTATTTATATGATAACCAGCGCTGTATCTATCACGAGGCTAACAAGGCATTTGCCTTGGGCGGCATTTTTTAGGGTGAGGCAAAATGCCTTGTTAGTCTAGTGAGTCGTAATAAATACAGTGCATCTCGGTGTTAGGCTCAACCCCTCACATTAGACTCTGCCCCTCCACAATTTGCTCCGCCCCAGAATTTGGCTCTGCTTTGCTCACTCGGCACCTGGGATAACCAAGGAACAGGATCTGCCTCCTCCCTGACCAAGGTAAGCTTCAGAGAGGGGGGGAATTGAAGTCCTTAGCCCTGCTACAGCCTCTTTACCCCCTACTTCAGCCCCATTACCCCTACTTCAGCCTCTTACCACTACAGCCACTAATCACTATAGACCATAATCCCCCTACTTCAGCCCCTAAACCCCCTACCACGGCCCCTTAACCCTACAGCCCCTAACCCCACTACTACAGCCCCTAAACCCCTTACTACTGCCCCTTACCACTACAGTACTTAGACACTACAGCCCATAACCCCCCTTCAACATCCCCTTACCACTATAGCCCCTAACCACTACAGTCCCTAAACCCACTACTACAGCCCCAAACCCACCCATACTAAAGTCCCTCACTTTCTAAAACAGCATCCAACCCCCCCAACACCCTACTACAGTCCCCACCCACCTCCCCAATTGCTGACTGTAACGGATCACCTGGCACCCCGACTGGGTACCTCCATTGAAGGATGCTCCTAGCACTTCCTGAGGACTCCAAGCACTGCAGCAGAAACCAAAACCACTGAACCGTAGGAGCATATGAATGCTATCAAGCATATGAATGTTGTATACAGCCGAATAGGAAAAACCATGCGAATAGGTTTACACTCCTAGCAGTCAAACTGGAACAGCATACAATGAATCCTCCCCCAATAATGAGACAACACTTCACTTTGAGGGTTAAGCAGGAACTTCCTGTACTGTCACATACAGTCTCTTTTATTCCCAA